TCTAACTATCAAAGATCTGTCTAGAGACCAATCTAACGATATATAGAAAAAGCCCTACTAATATTATAAATGCGAAAGTAACTCTATCTGTCTGTCTGTTACGCTTTCATGCCTAAACCACTAAACTGATTAAAATGTAATTTGGTACACAGATAGAGTTGACCTTGAGAAAGAACATAGGATAGTTTTTATCCCAGACTCTTGAAAGGTTCTCTTGGAAACGCGATATAACCGAACTCCACGCGGGGGAAGCTGCGGGCGGAAAGCTAGTATTTAATATTTCTTTAATATCCAATCTTTCCAATCTTTGAAATCACTGCAACCAGATAATTTCAAGCATATATTCACAATATAATAAATTAATAAAAAATATTACCAACCAAGACTCTACTATGATATATTTATAAACAGACTTTGATCTGTTATTATATTTTGTTAAACATCATACTTCTTATCGTCATTGTCACTCGCACTTGACTGGTAATTAAAAACATGTTATGTAACGTTACTTATTTAATATATAATATTACTATATAATTTCTTATACAAGATTTTTTCAATAAACATACAAAAACAAGATTATCTACATATATATATTTAAATCAATGAATATTACGGATGGATTTGAAGGTTTGAAGGAAAGAAATACAAAATATATTGTGTTAGTTTATTAATTTATATTTTAATTAATTATTTATTAGAGATTCAAATGCGACAAAATTTTTTTATATCATGAGGAAAAAGATGTGAAACAATTAAGTAATTTTCTTTGTTGGGATCTGTAAACAGTGAAAGATTTTAATCGAAGTCGATTTAAATAAATTGATACCTCTTAAAACCCAACAAGCCCTCTTTGATTTAATAGATTACCAATTATTTTGGTAGTTGGAAAATTTCTAAAAAGTGGTTTCAAAATGATTCAATCCACAACCATTTTAATAAACCTTTATTTTTTATAGCTCCATTTATATATATAGAATTAAATTTATACTACTAAATAGCTATTACACTTCATAACAAAAAAAGAATTTCATGAAAAACTCTTCAAACTTCTTAATTATAACTAAACTTCAATATTCATATATTTAATTTCACGTTGTTTTTTGGCAAAATCGCGATGAACGTACGTCGAAGGCAGCCCTAGTAGGTTCTTTTCAAATTTGGTTAGGTAGGGAGAGGAGCTTGGACAGTGGAGGTGAGCGTATAACGCGCGTTAGTTAAGGGGCCCCTTAAACCTATACTTGGGTCACAAGTCCCAGTCACTGTTGAAGCTCCTCTCCCTGCAACACGATGGACCCGGCACACGCATATGAATACATGGAATGCTGAGAAGTTTCGTCTCTACAAGATACCACGTAAAATTACGTGTATGTACATTAAAAGGGTTTTCAGACTATATGAAGGATGAGATACAATCTCACGCGCAAATCTCAACTAATTTAATAATATTACATTCAAGAGCTAAGGTCAAGGATAACTTGTGACGTCTTGTGATGAGAAAAAGATAAGATAGCCTTATTATTGTAGGTTTACCTTTAAATATATTGTTTGTTGAGTTCATACCTCAAGTAAATAAGTTTTTTAGCTCGGCTGTCAATGTTTAAATAAAGCGTATAAGTATAATATTCAACATTCAGCTCAATCATTTCTTTTATTCGGGAGAAAATACAATTTTTTTTGTTTATTGCTTATGAAATAATTAAAATTAAATAATTTTGAACCAGTTTTTTTACTAGGAGACGAGTAAATCAAAAAAATGTACGAGAAAATCGGTTGCTTGCAATGTTATCCTAAATTTTCTGATGAATTTTTTATATTAATTTAACCTCGATCATTAAGACAAAAATTTAAAAGAGTTCTCATGCTTTAGTGTTAGAAAAATTATATTTTTGTTACTCTAAATTCGTCTCTTGAAACTTTTGGACTTCAAAATTCTAATTGTGGGTTAAAAATATTGGAGGAGATTAATATTATTAAGTCACTCGCAAATTATGTTAGCGTGGCATCCAGAAATTCCAGGAATACTGCGAAACTTACTTATATGTATATTATAATAAGAATTGAAATCTATAACCTACACCTAAGACTACATGATTGACCCGATGTTGGGATAGCAATACCAATCCATAGCTTGTGTGGTATCAGGAATCTTCTGGTTCACACGGCTTGGTGTTCGTTCCGCGGAGTCAGCAGGGTCACTCGTTATATATTTTATCCATACAACGATGGTGCCCCGGCGATGTTCATTTATTTTTTTCATATGTAGTTAATACGTAACGTCTGTCAAACCATCATCATTTTAAAATATTTCTAGAATATAATACGTATTATTAATTTAAAGCAACATTTATCTTATATTGTCAAGTTTGTATTGTTTCTGTTTTTTTCAACACAAAAGAAAAACAAATAACATATTGTATAATATTTTTCCGTATTTTTCTTTTCCGTGTCAAAGGGTACTGTGATGTTAGGCAGCTCATTTGAAATTCTTATGATGGATACAAAATATTAGAAAAATAACTTACTATAACTAGAATTCTTGAATCTTCTTCTACCTGACAATTTCCCAGCTTTAGCCATTGTCTGCCTTACATGTTGTAAATAGTTTTGGCTAATTGTTATTACGACCGGCCGCCAGTATGACATCAACCCTCTTTGGGAATAATGGGAATAATACAATTAGAATTCTTGAATATCGAGTATAATTATTTTCATTGTACCGTTATATTTTGTCTCTTTTGTTACGAATATATATATATATATATATATATATATATATATATATATATATATATATATATATATATATATATATATATATGTATATATATATGTATTTTTAATTAACTATAATAATGTGATATGTTGATGTCATTAAAGGTTTACAGAAACATGAATAATTAATGAATTTTTTTAGTCTTATTTCATATTTATTATTTTATATTTATAGAAATATATTAATAATCGACAGTATATTCCTTAAAAAAAACTCCTTAATCCTTAACTTTCATTAATATTATGATAAACATACTTCCATACTCTAAGTTTTTTCTCGTAACATCCACGCCAGACAAATTGTATTTTGCAACGTATCTCGCCCGCGTCAATCGTAATTGTATACAATTACTAACAAACAAAAGACAGCAATTTTTGTTATAACGTTAAAAATTTTCCCCTGACGTCGTTAGTTTTTCTTATATTAATATGTTCTAGAATAAAAACGACGTCTTAAGAACGCATTGGTTTAGATATGATAGGATTTTCGGACATTAAAATCATGAAAAGAAGCGTTCTATTTCTTAATAAAGAGACTGAAAACTTGTCATCATTCCATGTATTCACGGTGCGTGTGTCGGGTCCATCGTTGTAGTGAGAGGAGCTTCAACAGTGCTTGGGACTTGCGACCCAGGTGTAGGTTTAAGGGCCCCTATCTAACGCGCGTTAAACGCTCACCTCCACCGTTTAAGCTCCTCTCTATATATACCGACACATACAAATAATTATATTGTTTATACAAAAAAAATTACTTACAATTAATTTAAGCCCGTTATCGTTCTAATTTACACGTTACTCAGAAGCTTGAATTTTTTTCCTTTAATTGTTATTAAAATGTATATTTTTTTGTGCCATGTGAATTCATGTGACCACTTTAATAAACGTGATTCTTTTATTTTATATTTTTCTTTTAACTATATTTTATCAGCGACTTTGTCCGATAATATTTTTTAGGCAGTTAGTTTGTAACCTGCGTAATAAAAAAATCATTTTTTTAATAAATAATAATTACTCCTAAATTAATATTTAGATTCTTTTTGCACGTAAATATTCTTCAAATCTAATAATAAACAAGTCGTAAGTCGACATTACAAGTAGAAATTAATAAAAGATTTAAATGCATTAATAACTTTTCATTGAAACCTTCCGTTCCCAGATGTAAATGATAGTTGAAGAACAATTCACGTGCGAAAATAATATGAGTCATTTTGTTATAAAAATAGATTTTATACACATAGTTGGATCCTTTTATAATTAAGACAATCTTTTCTTATGTTTTTCTGTATCACCAAAATTTTTATAACTACAACAATTAATTATTTTACAGCTAACATTATTGCTCAGTCACAATTCAATTTAGATTTACATTCAAACGTGTTAAAACCCTAAACGTACTTCTCGGACTCTTGTTAGCTTGTCTTATGTAACTGAAGTATATGTTAGTGTTCTTTATTTTAATATAATTTTTTGAAAGTTTAAATAAGATCTGAGATTTAATGAATACCTCCTCATTTCGAAAACTGGTACGTATATTAGTTTACACTGCTCCTATACGTTTATACTAAATGTTACTATAATTTAAAAACAAAATCATACACTTCCAAATATGAGATATTGAACCCATTGAGTAGAATTTAAACCTTATACGGACTCCCATAAGGCACTAAATCGAATAATTATTATACGTCAAAAGTACCCTACATACTTTTGACAACCAGTAGACACTCTACACAGTTAAACTCATATTATATAAACATATGTAAGAACCACAGCAAGGATACTGGTTTTCGAACCAAAATAACAGCATCGAATTCAAAATATCAATTTCAGAGTTATAATGAAACAAACACAGAAACAGAAGTTACTAAAATCATTTTATAACAAACACAAATGCGATTCGCTTCGGTTCTTAATATCATCTACCCAATAATTTACTTACTCCTCATAATATATTCGTATAAAAATGGATTATAAATTCAGCTTCAAACCTGTTTTATGGCATATGCAGGCTAGTCTATTCTGGTTAGACCTGATATCTTTTCAATTTATTTAGACATTTAGTATTTGAATATTTTTGGAAACCAATTCCACTAACGATTCATTATCAGCTTCAAGTAATAACAGTAGAACAGTTTATACAAGTAACTAAGATTTTTTATAAAGCTTAACTGGAAAATATTTATATTTATTATGTGGAAACTTACCTATAATCTTTATTTCAACAGATACGATACATTGTCTTCTATAGCACGATGTTATTCACAATCCTGTTCTACTTGTTCTACTACGTGCTATACACTGTTCTACTCGCCATCGCTGGTCTTTGGTGTTTCGAAGAATGCGCCCTGACTGAGGAAGAAGAGTATGAGTTCATACATCACCATCGGGCTATGCCGTACTGAAGGATCTATACTGTTTGGAGATTACATTCAATCAGCGACAGTAGGAAATAAACCTGTAAGTACACTCCATAATACTTACTATAAGATCTTCCGAAAGAAATATAAATTGTAATCCCAACATCACATACAATGCAATTCCTTAGCTAATATTTTTCATACAATTAAAGAGACGACGAAAATAGTTTATAAGTTATAATACCCAACTGTATTGTAATGTGACTGAATTGGATTTTATCAATTCAGCTAAAAGTTTAAATATAAAACTTTGTAGGTCTTTTCCGAATTTTCCAACTGAAAAACCCATGCTATTGAGATTAGTTTCTACAGTGATGTCCCACGATAGTTAACCGATTAGGATAGTTGTAGATAGGAGACTTAGGAGTAATAGTAATTATGACAGATGACACAATGTACAGCTTACCCTCTAAAAGTAACAACCTTTGGTAATTTTTTTGCGAAACATTAACTAGCTAATTTCCTGAAGAGGAATCTGTTTTTACTTTATAACCTTCACTCATCACGAAAAATGACAGGAATAGATTGAATCCTCCAATATTTGTTTCTTTTGCTATGAAATGTTTATCTGTTCCAGACATTTTGTAAATTCTTTGGTCGCCTAATGGCAGTAATTTTATGATTGTTATAGGAAAGAAGGATACCTAAAATAACTTTCTTATAATTTTTTCCTTCAATCAGATTAATTTCGTAAGGCATAGTCTAGAGAAGCTGTCTAGCACTTTTTAAAATGAAAAATTTATCTTAAAGGAGTATTTTCTTTTCCTTGATCTGAACAACATTTGCTTTCGCCCGAGCTCTGGTCTCCTTCGTATAATACATTTATATCACTATTAAAATTATTTCTTTCATACGCTATTAAGATTTACACAAGTGTCCTCACCTGCCCTAACAATAGAAATAATTTTTTTCTTGTCGGTTCTCTTGTAATGTTGCTTTAAGAACACTCAAAGAAGATTTTTCTTAGCTTAAAAATTGTTAATTAAAATTATTTCAAAAAATAACTATCTGATCCTTTACAGTACGTTGAAATTTAACTGATATTTAGTACAGAGTTAGATTTTAAAACATTAATGTAAAATCTTAAGACACAGAGCAATTATTTCACAGAGACAGCCAGGATTAAAAATATAAATAAAACCAAATATATAAAATATGAAGTCAAACATGTTTATGAGTATTATAGTCCAAAAAATTATAGCTCTATTATTACATTTTTTGTTATATAAATTTTGATATCAATTACCGTGCATTACAACAGAAATAATAATCATAATTGAACTACCGGGCGAGCCAAGGACCCGACTGCAGGTAGCTCTGTTATTCATTACTCTACGGGGCATCTCACAGTTCATCCATTTTTACGTAAATATGAATATATTCATACAAATACTTCAGTTTGTGACAGTCGTTAAAGAAGTGTGTGCACGGTGATAATTAATTGAATAGGAAGGTACGTTCAAATATATTATATTATAAAATAATTAACATCTAATAATAATATATAATTAATAAAAAAATATATGTACTGATTTTTATTAATATTTATTTTTAATTAGAATCAAATATATCGGTGCTACATTTAATTGTTATGTATAATTCAATTAATTTAAAGGAGATTTGAAACTATGTAATTTATATCATTGTTTTAATACGTTTGAAATAAATAATATATAAAATTAATATAAAGAAGAAAAAATCCGTTTGTTCTGAAATTCAGTAATATTTTTTTTAATTAATGATAAATGAAATTTGATAAAATCATTTTATAGATTTAGATTCTAACAAAGGGTTAAAAAAATATTTTTGTTATTAGCAATCGGTATCAATCGTAATAATTACTTTCCACTTCGACTAAATAATATCTTGGATTTCATTACTTTTAATATTATTAAAACTTAATATTACTTATATATTGTGAATATTTACCTAAATATTAATAAAAATAATACTTGACCAATAACCATATTTCCATTTTTTACATAAGTAATGAATGTGATACACTTCTTACATTATATCATATAAATTATACAATAACAAACAGAATTTAAAAAAACATATAACTAAATATATAATTTTTCATAAATCGAAGGCAGTCTCGTTTTAAATTATTTTAAATTATTTCAAATATTTATGAAAAATATATGTTTATATATAAATAAACATAAAGATAAGCAGTTATATTGTCATGTCATATTAGGACCCTGGCTAAAGCTGGGAAATTGCCAGGAAGAAGAAGAAATCATATTTGGTTAGTCAATCTTAGTTCAATATTCACATCCTGCACAAAAATCCTAGTATGGAAGAACAATAATAAGACATGACTCTTTATCTGACATTGGCTTCTTAACAAATAGTTAACTCTTTCTGTACCTATTATAATTTGATTCAAACCCGAAAATGCGACTAATACAACATATGAGATAATTTGCTTGTGTGGATGTTTGTTGTTCTTTCTAGCACATTTTACTGAACTGGTATTGATGAAACTTTCCATTGAGATAGCTCAGATATAAGTATAAATTAGTAGTAGTAGTTCCTAAAGGATAAAGACATACAAGTTAATTTGTATAAAGTCAGTAAGCAGAATATACATGGCGCTGTAAGACGGTTACCATATGACAACTATTTTATGTATGTACTCATATTATTATGAACTGTACATGAACGAATTTGTAAGCATGAAGTATTTAAAAAATCTTAAGGGTAATTACGTCTTTAAATAGTTTCAGTAGCGAAAATGTAATATCTGTTAGCCCATTAACTTTACATATTTTCATAGATACGAAAGGGGGTCTCGTTTCTCATTCAAAATATATTCTATAATAATTCTATGATGCTAAAACTTCTTACTGCAAAACTTTTAATATATAGTAGTTTAATATGTAGTGTGACGATGGACACTAAGAGTAGGAATAATGAACGCTTATAATGAGTTTCTCACGTTTTTAATAAACGTGATTAAGCTAAATCTTAACAAAATAAAAATTCAGGATATAACAAAAAAAACGGTTATTCCTAGGAAATAATAATTAAACAATTATAATCTTAACATCACAATCATTGTCAAAAAAAAATCGATTTCCCACGGACGCTATTGTTAACTAAATTTAACAAAATGCTTTTAACTTCAGATCTAATTGTTCATCACACTAATTGAAGCTTTCGGATGACTGGTTCCAGAAAATCCCCTGTCAATTATAAAATGAAGTCATATCTGGCATTGAACGTGGCATTATTTTATGACCAAAAACTGGCCTTTTTATGACAGTCGTGATTACAATGAGGTTTCGTAATACGACCTCAAATGGTTTCGTCTCAAGTTGTCAACCTCATTTATGTTTGCACTCGGTTAGGTTTCATACCAAACAAAATATTAACAAATACGAACTTGCTGCATGAACTTGACTGACTATGAATTAATTAGTTATTCGACAATGAGCTAGTTGACTAAACCTGTGAGGAATATTAATAAAGCCTAGTTTTCATTACATTCTTTCATCTTTACTCCAAATTGTATAGAATTAGTGACATCTAAGAATTTCGTTAGTTTTATTCATTTAAATTAAACTGATATTTGTAACCTGTGAAAGTAGCCGAAACATAGGGAGTATGTAGTTTTTTATTACAAAAATAAACCATCCGTAGTATATCCGAAAATTATTAGTTCCAATTAAATGAATAGAATTAGATTGAGATTTAGCACAAGACCGGAAAATGCTATTCTATAATTTTTGAATGTATATTACTAAATATGTACAATAAATTTTAAATTTATTTTAAATGACTGTTAAACTCTATTCTTACGTTAAATATGGTTTGCAACTTTTTTGACATAAATTTTAATTGTCAATAATTTTTAAAGATAATATTTTTTTTATATTATTAAAAGCAATTTATTTAGTTGCATACACATATGTTAAAAGATTGTTATATGAGATAATGTAATAATTTCCATTAGTTCATTATTTCCTAATTAACATTGCACAAATTTTACAGGAGGTTGCGTACGGAAACTTGGTTTGATGAATTATCTACTCAATACGTTTTCAAACGTATAATCTATGTTACCTTCATTTTAATAACAATTATAATTTCACTTGTTTCTTCAAGTATATTATAAATTTATATTTAATTTTACTGTACTTTAATTTGAGGATTTTTTAACAACGTAGTCGACAGAAAAAAAAGTCAAAACTAGTTTAATTAGTTCAATATTGTCAATTTAAGAAGCAAAATTCATAATCGTATATAGATATTAAACAAAATTTAAGAATGAAAAACGTTGAACTGTAAGTTTCTACGTATATAATGAAAATCAGTTCTAAGGGTTCGTATGGTCATTAAGTAATGTTCGAGCAATACACAAACAAAGCGCGTACCGAGTGAACTTGACATTGCATAAAACAATGGATTAAAAGAAAAAATCGTGACGTACTATGACTGACGGCATACTGTATAGAAAATTATGGGAAAAAATACATTGACACACGAAGTAACGTACGTAAAGACAAAAAACACTATGTATAGGTACAAATTATTAAAAACCTATTATACTATATATAATGTTGACAAAAACGTTATATTAATATACCTCATGTATGAAATGTAACAAATAAACAGACATACATTTATTCAAATAACTGCAATTGGATATTTCTAGATTTTTAGGTTCATATACCAGCTAAAACCCGCGACGTTGTCTATATTTATAGTTTTCATACATGAAAGAAAACTCCAAACACTGTACACAATACTTACGAGTCTCTTAAAACTTTAAAAAGATGATATTTAACAAAGATTTGTCGGTATAATTTAAATACTGGAAAAGTATCTTGAAATAAAACTTAGATAATTTCAATGAAACTAATATTTTTGATTATTATCCGTTAATATGAGCTTCATTTAAATGAATACTTAACACTTACATCTCATTATTGCATAATTTATTTAGAATCTATTCAAAAAAGTCGTCACCAGCATTCAACGCACAGCTACAGAATGCAGTGCCTTAAACAAGGGTTCGTATCGTCACAATACTTACGAAATGAATCAGTTTTTCATTCAGAAATCTTAACAATTAATACCAGTTTATCAATTTCCATACATTGCAGTATTAATGAGGATTATTTATAAAGGAAAACATTTCGTATTTAGTCAGACAACACAAACTTGTGCCGAACACAAATCACAGACACCGTGAAATCATTCTGCCGGCATCCAGAACGGTATTCCAGAAAATTGAGAAGTCAATGGTGGTAGGTGATAAAATAACAAGACCGACTGACAGACACTCACATCTCGTCTGCCCGTGATCACGGTTGCTGAAAAGTAGCCGAAACGTCGGGAGTTTGCAGTATTTTACAAAAATAAACCGCGTATATCCGAGAAATATTAGTTTCATTAAAATGAATAAATCTCGCGAAAATCTTAGATCTCATTATAAATCGCATGCATCATTAAATTTATATACGGTCAAAACACTTCAATATTAGTAATAAACTTGCAATCTTCATTTAGTAACAAAATCATTCTGTTTTATTATTTTTACGATATCTAGTAAACAATAGTGCAGCTAAAATTCAGAACACGTATAACAAGAAAATAAATATGGAGATAATTGCGTTTGCACAATATTACTATAGAACAAATGCATGTTATGTATTCAATACATCCGATGTTCTATTGGCTAAAAGATTTATTGATCCAACATAATATATTACAGGCTGGAACATTATTTATTAATATTCATTTAAACTACATTTCGTAAAATTAAATATAAAAAATAACAACAAAGAAATATATTATATTAGTAATCATTGACAACTTCTTCTGAGAAAAACATTTGTTTTTGGACAACTTTGGACATTCAATTTGACATTTATAGAGTTTCTAAAATCAGAAAAAACGTACCAATAGGAATATTTTAACGATTTTAATAAGGAACGCATCTATCATGTATGTGTTAGTTAGGCTTTCAAGCGAAAACTACTGAAGGTTTTTAAGTGAAATTTGATAATTAGTTTGTTCCTTTGAATAACATGTACTGGAGATTCATACTGGCAGTAGAGGTTGGCATAGAATTAATTAATTGTAATTTCCGACGTATTTAGAAGTAAATTAATAATATATAATGAGATAAAATCTGATTCGAAAGTACAAAAATCCTAATAGAACTTTTGTCAAGTGAAGCTTATCAAAATAAAACTAATATTTTTTTGTAATCTAAAAAAATTACTATCTAATGTCGAATAAAATCTTTGACAAATCAAACAAACACTAGACTAGACTAGACTATCCAAAGGAGTAAGTCCGGTTGGACGGCTCGTAAAAAGAGTTTCCCTGACATAAAAAAAAGACTATACTAGACTGGAAGACAGAGATTAATAAAAATTATATATGTTTTTTAACATGTATCTAGGGTAATAATCATTTAACATAGCTACGTGCTAAGTGACAGTGAGACAACAATATATATTTTTATGTAAACATACTGGACCTTAACCCACATAACTGTTGGCTGGGGATAGTTCTGTTTGATGAGTTTTGTAATAAACGACCTCACTTCTGACAAGATTTTTTTGTAAATATTGTGATATGACACATACAAATGAATGAATAAATCGCAATTCTTTAATTTTACAACGGCTATCAAAGGTCATTATAGTAGACACTTCTATGTTTGTAGCTACAATAAAAGCTTTCGACACTTTTGCAGTATAGAAATGCTACTTTAATTATCAAGAAGGCAACATGTGTAATTGAATAATAAATAAATTTTATTTCACGAGAGTATATTTTATGTTGTATGAAATTATATGTACAACATTTAGATTTGTACGAGTTTGATACATCCGTATAATATGAAAAGTAAAATTGTATTAGTGAATTAATTTTTAAAGGTGATATCAGATATACATTTATTTAAGCAAAATCTAAAAGTAAGATCGAATTTTATTAATATGTACCAAAGTAATTATGTACCTACCTATTTCAATTTTTCCAATGAAATGTACAAATTAAATTTATACATTACTAACTTTATATTATATTAAATAAGCAAAAAATAAACTAAAATCACTTCAAGGAGTTGATGTTAGAAACTGAATTCAAAAACATAAAAAAGACTATTCGCAAAATCTATAAATTGCAATATTTATGAGACCTTGACATTGCACGCACAATAAGTTCACGATCAAAAACGTATTAAGAAAGCTATAAGTAACGCCATCTGTTATTAATTATTCGAACCTTTTTGAAAAACATACTGTTTAGTTCGCTTTTTCATCAAAAGATGTCGCGCGCACCACATTCTTCTTATTTACTAAAAATTTTAATCGTTATCAGATATTTTTGTTCTACTTGCTTCATTACTCAACTCTATTTAATTTATAATTTGTTATAATTTCAATTAATTGTTCTTGAATTACTATAAATAAAGTAAAAACGACTTGAATGTGTGCATTCGTTAAAATTTAATATCGTAAGCGCGTAAGAGGTAGAAAGTAAGAAAAGAGATATTGATCAGAAAAAAATTTAACAAATATAATGCAAGAAGCTAAAATATCCTTGTATGGGTTAATTTTGTCTCCTATATAAAAACTTTTCCTATTACACAATTTATTTTTATTCTGTTACATGCCTTAAGAGGTACATAAAAAAGTATCCCTAACCTATTCCAATATTTAAATACCTTATTTTAAAGGAGACAAAAATGATAATATTTGAAATAAAATATAAATTTCAAAAACAATTACATCGTCACAATGACTGTTGCGGAAATATGAACGCTGTGTTAATAGTAATAGACTGTAATTTAGAATGACGCAAGCTGGTACATACGACCTTGTTGCGCGTGGGGCACAGCCGGTACTGGTTCATGCTTGGCGCGAGATTCAATTGCTGGCTTGATATCCGCGTGAGCGCACTTTCCCAGTCACTCCCTTTCATCTCACGAGATGAACGTTTAAAAAGAATCACTAAAGAGAAATGATTTGAATAACCAATAGTATTAACTAATGTATATGAAAAACAAATTATAATAAAAATTAAAATCTTTTGTTCCAGACGAAAACTTTACTACAGTTGTTAAAGTAAGTGACTTTAAAACGATAAGTGAGTGAAGTGTTGAGTGTTGAGTGTATATAGAAGGTAACGAAAATGTCTGGTTTCGTTAAAATAGCCATCGATGATTACTATTCAGACAATAATTGGACCACCATCATCAATAAATATTGGATGCTGGCTGAAAGAGTGTCTGGTGAGTAGACATAAAAATACTATCATTAATATATGTATATAAACAGATTCTCCACCATTTAATGTACTTCTTTTACTTCTCGTAAATTTTAATAGATTATTATTTAGTAACAAATACATAAAAAAACTTATAAACTCTTAGATATTAAAATATTTTATTATTTATTAATTTTTTTCTATCGACTCGTAATAAAACAATACAAGTCTATTCAGGTCGATCGTAACGTGAGGTAACGAAGGTTACTATCAATAAATTTATTCATAACCGTAAAATAAAACGAATAAATAATAATTTTCACGACGAAAAACTAAACATTATATTATGTTAATTTGACGAATAAATCGTTTGCACCTAATATGAATTTTATTTAACATCGAAGCGTACTAGTTTTTTAGTTTAATATATTTCATTTAAACATATAATTAATTAAAATTAACAATACTTTAAACCTAATAGATCATATGGAGATCGTAAAAAATAATTCGTTTTTTACTAATGTATGTGTAGACTTTAAAGTATATCTACAAGTCAAAACTCAACTTTTAACTGATTAATTAATTGAAGTTTATCGTTTAGTGAATTACTATAACTCGAGAAAAATTTAGAAATATTTTAAGTCATATTTACATAAAAGGTAGCCTTTATATATTAATAATAAAACAATTTGTACTAAACAAGTCTTTATTTTTTAAGAAATTTCAAACAGAAGATACGATTTTGTTTTTCGCACTTGTGTTATTCGTGTTAATCAATATCTTCAAATACAATAAAGATAATAAATAGGTACATTACTTGAATTATTATATACATATATTATATAATAAACTTATCTGTCTCTCTTTATAAAAAGACTTTAGAGTTGATATTAATGAATAGCTTATGTCTATATGAAACGAAAGTAATTCTTTACATGATTACTACAAGATTACTACAAGACTACATCGTAACACTACATACTATACTAGGTATGTGTCTAATTTCTCATTCACTAACTTAAGTTTTATTAAAAACTATTAACTCTCCGTCTGTCGTGACGACGAAGTCTTTGCAGACACATTGACGCCATAGTTCATTGTCGTGATATTTATTCAAGTTTTCGTACGAATTTTTTATTATTAATATTTTAATATTCATGAAGTGTTAAGAGTTCTCTAACATACGATATACAGGGTGACTGGTGAATTACTATCAATATTTAAGGAGCATACTCGGTACATGATTCTCATTCGAATTATGTAACAAAAATAGGCACTTAATTTTTGACCAACTTTCCGTATAAATAAATAAAGTGTGGACATGTGTGTGTGTGTATGTACACTATCTATGTTTTATATTCCTCTTTACTTTTATTTTGATACAAATCCTTAATGATATTAAAATAAAAAAGTTTTGTTGATTTTTTTATCTCGTTTGTTCAGCTTTCATCTCGTTTAAATAAATCGCTGCATAATGATAACTAATTTGCTAGTTTATCTGATGTTCTCTGAACTGTTTACTACGAGTATACGGAGCTGTAAATACGTAAAATTTACAGTTTTTCATTCATACATCTTATTAGGTTAAATTAGTTTGTTGCATGTAATTGGAAACGTTATGTCTGGAGAGTTATGCAAAACTTGTGTTAAGCATAATACATACAAATAATATTACTTATAAGGAATTTTGATATAAATATTCGTTAAAATCGCTTCATGCAATCGAAAGTCATGTTAAAACCACAAATGAAGAAAAATGACAACTTCCTCCTTTATTGAAGTCGGTTCAAAACTACTATAATGATTTTATAGTATGAGATAAATTATACATTTATTTTACTTCATACTCTTTAGACTCTTAATATATATTTTTTTATTTGTAACAAAATTCACATATACATTAAATTATTATTATATAATAAACAAAATGTACTTAGAACAAATACTTTGAAACATGATGCTTGATTATTAACTTTGACTTTCATTATTATATTCGTCATTTACACCACACGACAGTGACACACGATAAAATATGTTTGATTAATCGTGTCGTATCCGTCACTGACGACTTTCACATCTCATTCAGATCTGAAGATTAAATAAAAATGAAATGAAATTGTCATACAATATAATTTACTTTGTCATTTCAATTGTACGATTTCCTATAAATTTTATCAAGTATACTTGATTTTAAATATTTTTGATAGCGAAAGGTACATTTTGCTTATAAGGATATTGTGAATCCTTGACGTTTTATGTCCGGTTCAATGACCCTAACTGCACCGAAATATACTTTATTATATTTAATTACTTAATATTAATTCAATATTTAAGCCGTTTCACTTTTACTTACGTTAAACGAATAACTTTCAATTTTTACGTAAAACAGGTTATTGTTAACGTAAAGTGTATCGTATTTTTTATTACTGGATAATTCTTAATTGCTGTACTATCAATATTTTTACCTTGAGTTCGTCACACTATGTGGATTGTTCTAGTTGAAAATATCATGCAAATATTGTTTGACGATTAAAATGCGCGGTAGAGGTATGGATGTTAAATGAAACTTATACTTTACTACACGACTTTATTTTTGTAAAAAAATACATACTCTCGACGTCGCGTCTGCTCGTGATCACGGTTGCTGAAAAGTAGCAGAAACGTCGAAATATAAGTTTCATTTAAATGAATAAAACTCGCGAAAACTTTAGATGCTAAGTCTACATGAAGACGATGGTTGGTAAACGAGTATGCTTTCATAAAGACTTTATATAGAAACTTATACACCAAAAAATTAAAGGCTTCTTCTCCACAGATCCCAGAGTGCAAGGATGGTTCCTTTTCGATACTCCGATAGCCACCTTCGCGATGGTGGTTGCGTATCTTGCAGCAGTATTAATCCTGGTACCTCTGTACATGGAGAACAGAAAACCCTTCAGCCTCAAGAAGACCCTGATCTGCTACAATGCCTTCCAGGTGTTGCTGTCGCTGTACATGTTTTACGAGGTGAGACATACTAAAAGACTTGTGCCTGTCCAGAACTCACATTAATACATTCTTGGAACGTACATCGAAGGAAGCCCTAGTAGGTTCTTTTCAAATATGGTTAAGTAGAGAGAGGAGCTTGGACGGTGGAGGTGAGCGTTTAACGCGCAATAGATAGGTACCCCTTAAACCTACACCTGAGTCACAAGTCCCAGTCACTGTTGAAGCTCCTCCACCTGTAACGATGGATCCGACACCCGCACGGTGAATCCATTGGATGCTTAATGATTTCGCTTCTTTTAAATGTAATGAATAATTAAGTTTGTTAATACACGATGTTAAATTAAGAATATTATCGCTCAAATCAGTTGAAAAAACTCAACTGAACTTCAAAGATAAAAATCTATTCACCATAAACAATGTACGTATCAAGTTGAGTTGTTAAATGAACGCTTTTGCTCCACAACAAACGCTTAGGTCGAGGTTAAAAGAATCGTTTAAAGTTATTATAAAACAATTACATCTTTTACAATTAAGACTATATTATTACAAGGATAATAATATTCTCAAATGTTTTAGGGAAAATAAAAAGATAATTCAATTGAGATTTTGAATCATCACTTAGTTGCCTAAGATTTTCGCGGTCATTTAAATAAAACTAAGTTTTTCGTATACCTACTACGCTTTTTTTATACATATACGTTTTGGTTTTTTAACAACATCTTTTACAACTCGTCTGCCTGTAAAAAACTGGTAGTATCAGTTAAAATTAGTTTAATTAAAAAAGTCATTTTCCCTTTACGTAATGTTAACTACTAAACTACTACTACATAGTACTTTTTTGAGGATATTTCACACAATATTTCGTAATATATATAAATTTTATTTAGTTCTTTATATGTTATGTTTGTGTCCACTACATCATGAGCAAATTTTTCTAAGGAATTAATATAATGAAATTATCAACCGGCATCACGTTGAATCCATGGAATACTGAGTTTCGTCTCTTATTTAAAAACATATTTTATTCTAATTATCATCTATTTTAATATCTAAAATAATGTTCTCAATTAAATTATTAAACCAAGCTTGCTAGTAGTTTATAATTGGTAATAAAACAGTTTTCTTTTCCTACCAGCGAACAAAACGGTCAAGGTTCTATGTTAAAAATACGTTTAACCATTCAAATTCTTCCAAATAATTTTACTAGGCTATTCCATTTGTTTATTTTAAGTGTTTTTTTATTATGAAATACGACCTTTTGTTACAAATCACTGTTAATGTGTAGCAAAATTTTGCTTTAAACATTGCGTGAAGATACAAAGGTTGACCGAGATATTGTTGGCATTGCTATAATTTCAATCAGCCAAGGTTGTGATGATTGTCACGGATCCTTAATCATAATTCTTCAATATAATTTCATTTGTTAACTACCTTCTATTCTCATACTTTTATATCGAGTTTAATTTTAGTCCTATTAAGTTATGTCCTAAGATTCTGTGGCGCGTCATCAAAACTTAATCCTACTATAATATGTATTATAATTCCGAAAGTTTGTGAATGTGTATATGTTTATTACTTCTTCACGATCAAACGGCTGAACCGATTTTGATAAAATTTTGTATACAGAAAGCTGACGTCCAGGAATAACACATAGGCTACTTTACATCCCGGAAATCCGCGGGTAAAACCGCGGGACGCAGCTAGTTTGTTTATATATTTTTAATATTATATTTCTGTTTTGTCAGCACTTGATGTCGGGTTGGTGGGGTGACTACAGTCTCACATGCCAGCCTGTGGACTACAGTGACAGTGAAAAAGCTAGAAGAGTAAGTAGACTAACTTTATTATCTAATAAAAAGGTTATATAGTGCCTATAAAACACTTTAATTTGGAACTAAAGGCTTCTATAGTATCAATTTTTTAGGCATTTTAAGGCTAGTGATTGAATATAGACAAAATTCGTGTTTACATTTTAAAGCCTAAAAGATATAGTAATATTGAACTTAATGTGAATATTAATTAATATCTTCTTAAAGTCTGCTACTAAATAATAATTGAGACCAACAACTTACAAACCTATTTTTAAGAACTAAAACATTTAAGATATGTTTCGTTCACTCATCTTAGGTTAGCATGAAAAGTTACTTCATTGTCATTAATATAAATGTACAGAAAGAGCGGTGCAATCTTCTAGTCAAATTTCTAGTTAGAAAAAATATTTAACAACAGATAGAAATAATGAAAGACATTTCTTCCTAGACATTCTTTATCTTAATAGATAAGTATGGTTAAAAATGTGAACACTAAATGGACTTAACTATATAACAATATCTATTCTTATCAATTCCTTTATATCTCCTTTCTAATCTCAGCGACTTATCAGATGTAGTCCGTTGACTTGAGTTTCGTATATATAAAAATAGAAGTCAGGCCTCATAATAACGAATTCGCTAGAGAAAACTAAACAATATTTGGAGTGACCGTGTCTAAAAACACGCGCATGTTGGTCAAGAACACAAGACACTTGCTACACGAACTTTCGAATGTATATTTGCTTCACGGGAAACAAAGAGAAATGGTGTTTTTAACGGGCGTGGTTAGGGTTGGCGATTTATAGAAATCATTATTATTTCCTTGAACACTCAAGAGTTTAGCTTAAAAAAATGTTGTACTGATTTGTAATTTAATATGTTTTAAAATTAATAAAACTAATTACTTATTGATCTATTCGAATAACTGAATTTTATAAAAAATATATGGGTGTGTAATATATCAGTCCGTTTGTCTTTTTGTTCGAGTCAGTCTCTCAAACGTCTAAACCGATTTTAACATGATATTAATCGACAGAAAAAATATTTTTTAACTTGTAATAAATTCTAAATCTTTTTATTTATAAACATTTAAAGCTATTTAAATTATTATTTATACAATGTATGACAACCCTTTATATTCAATTACAGTTGTAATGACGAACACAACATATAAAGAAACAAAAAGCATTCGCCATTTAATCAAATAAGTCGTTAATGGTAGAAGTGAAATTGCTTCAACAAAATATTATGAATTACCTTAAATACATTTTTTCTCAATTAAAGTCCCGTAAAAATATTAATGATTTTAAATTTAACATTAAATATATCTTAATTATTTGAATAATTTACTTAATTTGACTCTCTTACGATGCTTTCGTTTTCATCGCTAAAAAAATATAACAAATTATATCCTATTGTTATTTGACGTCTTAAAAAAGAATGAATGATTACCATAAGTATTCTCAGAATAACGAGAAATGGCCGAACATGTAAATACAGGGTGACTGGTGAATTACTATCGATATTTGAGGACGTGATATTTGACGATCATATATGACAAAATCAAAAATTAAGTACCTATTTTTTTTCCATAATTCGAATGAGAATCATGTACCGAGTATTCTCCTTAAATATTGATAGTAATTCACCAGTCACCCTGTATAGTGACATTATATCTATCGTTGTAAAGTTTCACTGACCTCAACCTTATATGTTCGCAATGAACTTGTGACGTAACAGTGAAAGCTGTCGCGGTCGGTTAAACTTGTAATTGTGTTTGCATCACAGCCTGGTCGAAAGTAAAATTAGAGGCATGCCTGAAGCTGTTCCGTTAAGAGGCTCTCAATCAGTCTGGTTTTTTATCGACATACGATTATCTCGTTTGCATACTCAGATTCAATTAAACAAATAAATTTATTTAACATTTTAAATACAATACAATAAAAATGAAGAATATGTACGATATTTATAAGTTATTTAAATAGCATTATTTTTTGTACAATATCACAACCAGTCTCCCAGTTTCGTATAATTATGATACCAATATTAAAACCAATGTTGAATTTATATTAGAATTAAGATTGAATAGAATATATAATGAAAATGTTATATCGAGAGCGGGATTTGAACCGGCGACCTCTGGAATGAAACATAAGCAACTGATACTCAATATTCCAGCTAGTGCAAAATTTAATTCTGCACGTATTGATGAATTTTCTATTTGACCTCGATTCTCCCAGGTACACCCCTCCCATAAAGAATAATGTAACCTACATTTCTATACTATATTTTTCACAGATGCTGCATCTCTGTTGGGTGTACTACTTTTCTAAACTATCAGAGTTCGCGGACACCATATTTTTTGTTCTTCGCAAGAAGAAGAGCCAGATAACTTGGCTGCACTTGTACCATCACTCGCTGACGCCGTTCGAAGCCTGGCTCTTAGTTAAATTCATTGCAGGTAATAAAAGTATAATAATAATAATAATAATAACTTTATTGAGAAAACACAATGTTACACAGTAATACATCAAGGTTGAGGTGCATTATGTTTTCAACAAATTTTAAAATTTCCATTATCTTTGGACCCCACACTAGGAGACCTGTATCGTGGGGTCCGAAATAGTAATAAGTTAATTCGGAATCGATCATTTAACTTGTCTTTAAATACGTCAATATCTGAAACAGTACCTAAAAATCTTCTAATATTCCAATAGAACCTCTTTGTAAAACTAAACAAGTACCTAATGATTCCGGTTTCTCATACAAAATCCTTCTTTGCACTATCACTTGTCAACATTTACGAATGATTAATGAGTAGTAATCAACATTTAGTTCGTTTGGCAAACTTTTGGCAATTTCTATTATTTTAATAGTATTTTTTTCTTCATTTAAAATTCTTCTTTTGCTATTATTGTGTATTTAACACTGTGCTCTGGTAATATTTTATATATTTGTGCTTTAGGTGGTCATGGAACCTTCTCGAACATCGTCAATAATCTAGTCCACGTGATCATGTACGCCTACTATATGATGGCAGCCATGGGCCCACAGTACCAGAAGTATTTGTGGTGGAAGAAACACCTCACCACACTTCAGCTAGTAAGTATTGAATCCTCCAAGTTTTATTGTTCCGTCAAAAAGGTACTACCAATATTACCAATATAAAATAGCTAATTGCTGTCATTGTTATAAAAAAAACAGTAGTGCTTTGACTGAAATAACTTGATACTCTAAGTAGATCCTTACAACAGCATCTATTTAATTAGTGAATCATAAAATTAATGAGAGACTTATGTGCAAGATCCTCTATACAGGTTGTGAGTTCTGGTACGTTCACCAATAAGGCAGGTTCATACCACTCCTTAAATACCTTGTTAAATTGCGCAAAGGATACCAAGCGATCAAACTTACCTGTTAGAAAATTTATTGTAACTTTATATCATAAACATGAATCAAAAGACTCGGTTATTTCAAATATTATTCGTCAATTTAATTTTCATTTAAAAACCAATTTATTTTATGAATATCATATACCAATACAATATTTGTATTTATAGTTATGCCAAGTACATCCTTGATGCAAACTAAATTTATAACCTGCCAACGAAATTACGTACAATTCCTTCGCTTGAATCACTTTAATAAAATATTTGTAAATAATGAACTTCCTTGAATATGATTCTGTCGGTACAGATAGAGTCGGAAGAAGCAATCATTACGTAAGAACGGATACAGCCAATATTATATAAGTACAGCCAGTGGCATTAACATAATTACTTTTCCTTTCTTCATGTACAGAGAACTCAATTAATAGTAGGTTTCAAATATAGTTTATAATATGATTATATATATAGATATATAGATTTCTTTATCCAGCAATCAATATAAATAAAATTGTTTCAGAAGTGTAATAAAAACGAGTATATTAATCAAGTTAGGCTCAGAACAGTAAGAAAGAAAGAATCACGTCTCATGGGAATAGAAAACGAATAGCAGAGAATATAATTTAAACTTTTTCAAATAAAGTTTTTAATTTTAAATGTGAATTATAAATCTTGTATTTGAAATAAACTCTGCCTTTTCAATGAGCTTACATCAGTGAAATTTAAACTACTGTCAATGAATCTAGGATACGAAAGAGATATAGAAAAAAACTTAACTATCAAATTGACTGACAATTGACAGTTGGAATATAAATTTTGATATGGAAAAAAAAATGACAACAAAAGACGTTATAATAGCACAAGGCCACACTTCACATTATTAAGAAATCGTAATTATTGAAGTACATTGGAGGTCACAAAACAAATTGCATTCAACAATGAAGTTGAAACATTCATGAATTCAATGACGAAATAAAAATAACTATTAAATTCTACTGTAGTAAGTATCTGTACTTAAAATTTGAGACAATATAATCATGCTAATCACGTCTTCCTTGCGTAAGTCTGTAATAAAATCGCGTGAAGTTTGAATCATAACTGAAAGTAGACTTTAACTTGAACGCTGTCTGTGAAGCCAGAATTATTTCGACACTAAGCGGAAAGGCATATCCTTTCTCTGTTGCAGCACGCAAGTACATTGAGACCTTCGGATGTAGATACTAATTAGATCATGTATAAGGTGACTAGATATTAGGAAACTGTTTGCAATACTAGATATATATGCTCTGAAGGGCACGTCTAGACTTGGGACATGTGGTGGATATATTACTTTATACTAGTCTCATTAGAGAGAAAACTATTAAGCTTTGAGAGTGAAGTTAAATGATTAATTTGTCAAACAATTAACAATGACAGTCAATTGGATTGTTCAGAAATTTTATATATTATTGGACCAACATTATATATTATCCTGAATGTATGAAAACATAACAAACCAATATTTAGACTTTAGTCCGAGTATATATTGTAAGACGACATACGGAGCGTTAGTGGTTTTTCAGTTACGAATATTCACACTGTAGTATAAACGAAGATTATTTATTGAACAATAGGAAACGCATCGTATGTAGTAAAAACAAAGACTTGTATTAAGCATACAACAAAGAAATATTAAGATGGTTCTCATTGCTTGGTTTCTGTATGAAAATTTAACAGCCAAACATTTATTTATTATACCAATGACAGTTATTTTTTCTGTTCATATATTTTTTTTATCCTTTATATTTGCTTTAAAATTCCGTGGTTATATTTATTAATCTTTGCTAAACGATGTATTCATTGATGGCAAAATCGAAAGTATGAGAGAAAGTTCGAGACCCCTTCAATAGAACTAATTCCTTGTAGTATATTAATTCAGATAATCTATTTACATTAGGCTTTCCTTTTATATGTTTTAATAACGATAAATTAAAATTAATAGTTCCATCAGAATTTTCTACTATTAGGTATAATATATATTTTATTCATAATTTTAAAATCAATATATTTTTCTATAGAAATTCTTCTATAAGGAATAATTTATAATAGCCGCTAACTTCTTCATGCATTTTCACTTTTTAATAATTAAATAATTATAGTTTTACGCTTGACTACTTCTAGAACTACACCTGTAGTACATATTATCTCAAGAAGCAATCTCATTAAATATAATGAATTAATCTATATCTATAGATATCTAGATTTAGATACTCGTTACAACGGTCAAGTTCAAAGCATTGATCTTTAGTTTGAGAAATTCATAACAGGTTTTAAGACGAGTTTTGTGTTTAGACATCTTATATATTTATAGCGGCAGTTTTATTTCCGTAATCAAATTAATATAACATGCATTATGATGTTGATGTTTTAATATTGTGATGAAAAATGATCAAAGATTTAATTTTATATATACTTAGAGAGATTTAAATTAATTATATTATTTGTAAAGCGTATACTAGTGATATTGTAGATGTAATAAAATCATTCAAATTACCTACGTAGTTTTCTAGTAATTGGTAATATTAAGGTCACGAGGAATTAAATTGCCAAAAATCCTATTCCAAACTCGTTTTACATTCATTTGTTTTGTGAATACTAATTATTAATTTATTCAGACTTATGTAAATAAAAAGAAAATATATTGAGTGACGCCTGGTGAGATAAATTATAAAAGAAAGGAACTTATTATCATATTTTAGTATCAATCAAATTTATTATATGTTTTCTCTAAGGTTATTCTTTGTTTTGTTTATACTTCTTGTGTTATTTTAATCGAAAGTTCAATGTACTTTATACATTAATAGTTGTTAGATATTCAAGTAAGTACAAACGACTAAAGAGATTTCAAGTAACTTAACATTTGTTGTACATTCTAATAAATGAAAGGTACATTTGCCAATCGCATTCGGATGTATACATATGACTTGTAATTGTAGAATCTTGAATACAAAGAGATTTTTCGAGTATAATTTAAATGAAACTAATTTACGGATTGCTATGACATCTCGTCTTAATGATCACGGTTGCTGAAAAGTAACCAAAACGTCGGTAGTATGTAGTTTAAAATAATAAAATACGCGTAGTAATCCGATTAATATTAGTTTCATTTAAATGAATACTCAATAAAATCTTAGATCTCATTCTAGTGTATGTAATTGTTTTATGACATTAGATCCTTACCTGGTTTATTTTTCGTTTCAGATCCAGTTCTTCATGGTTTTGTTCCATTCAATCAGTGCTCTTGTGTATGACTGCGGATATCCTAAGTAAGTTATTATTATGAGAGTAAATATAAAGTAAATATAAGTAAATTTATACTAGTAATACTCAATATATGTACGTGTACTTTTGCTTAGATATTAATAACTGTAGTATATACATATATTATTATAAAGTACTGATTAAAAATAATTATAAAGAATCCTGTAAGTTGATTTTATCAAAAACAATTCATTAATAAAGAAGTTATGTTACGTTGAAATTAAATTAAGGTACAAAGTTTCGTATGTGATGGCAACAAAGTAATTTATATACTAATTATATCCAGTCAGTGGTTTTTGCGAAACATACTTACAAACACATATACTAACTTTGTTTATTATTTGTATTACAGTAATAATTCTGTATTTCATGTAAAATGGCGTATATTTTTAATTATAAACTTACGAAGAAATTTACCACGTGGTTTACAAAGAAATTATACGTAAAATTAATATTTTTTTGAAAATACAATTTCATTATGAAATCAAATGCAATTAATTATCTTTGAGAAGAATCTTCATATTATAATATGATATTTATTTTTGTAAAATTTTTTACGACCTTTCTATGATCACGGTCGAGGACATTTAAGAGAAATTTAACTCCGTTCTAAAACCGGTTCAATGTTAATATATCCAATGATCTCTATTCTGATACACTAATAGTTAGCACTAACTATTCCTGTAATAAAATCGATTATTTGTATTTACTTCATTTCTAAATTATTAAAATTGATTTAAAGGAGACTCAATAAGAGAAATGACATGTTTTCTTAGGCTAAATTATTAATGTAGAAGTAAGAACAGTAATTAGTTTATTCCGTTTTGAAGTTAACAAAGATTCTTAACTGGGGAGATATAAAGGATATCGTACCTATATAAATACCTCACTTGTATCAGCATATTTAAAAAAACGACAATCTGTAAGGATTATATTTTCAAATCATATATTATATTTCTTAATTAACCATTTAATTTACCTTAATTTTCTCGTTACAGGATCATCGCCAGCGGTTTAATCCTACATTCAACGATATTCATAGTACTCTTCACGAATTTCTACATGAAAGCCTACAAAGACGGACGCGTTTCACCGAAAATAGAATCATGCAACAACAACAACACTTACATCAGCAACAGTCACATCAAGAACAACAGTCAAGACTACACGGAACTGTTGAAACAGAAAGTGCAATGATTTAAGTACAAATACATGGACAATACGATACAATTAATTGCACTATTGATTGTAACATTCGTCATAAAATCGATGGGTCGTATGTATAAGAACCAATGTAGCAATTTAGACATTTTAATTTTTTTGCTTCAAACACTTCATAATATTGTATTTTACAATATTCATTTAAAAATGCGTATTCGTTGGTGAAAAAACTTAGTTTTTATTGCAGTAAAATGACATAAGTAACACACTTTTTAAAGTATTAGGACTTGTACATTGTTTAAAAAACTAGTAGATTTACAAAAAAGTTTATCAAGCTTAAATGATATACATGTATGTAATAGTTGTTATGCAAAGTTTCAAAAGCATCATATGCTGTTGTCACATGTAAAAGATACATTGAAATCAAACTTAAAATGCCTCTACTATAAATTGTCATTTGCACATTGTCCTTATACATAGGAGCCATCGATATATAACCAATGATTTTCTTCTACAGTGTAACCTGTACAGTGTACATATAGACTTTATTGTACATACAGAATAATATAATGTACTTATTTAAGTCAGCCGAATGAAATTCAGATTCGGCTTTTATTGAATCAATAAAAACCGAATATCATATAAATATTGAAAGTTTATTTAAGTTCATAAAATGTATTATAAATGCTGACTATTATCATATGTTATTTTCCACTGAGAGTTATATTATTTTGTATTGAAATCTCTCTAGTAATATTTGTACCACGGTGCTAATTTTGTTTAAGAAAATTTCATGTTTAACTACCTCATAGTATTCAGATCCGTCCATTGTATATAAAATTATTTAACATTTCATGATCATTATTAATATTAGAATTAGTTTTTAATATAAAGAAATTATTCGCGGTATTTAAGTATTAGACTTAAAGATATATAAAAACATATTATAGCTCCCAGTGGATGTTATCTTAAACACAAAATGTAATAGTCAGCTCTAGTTATTGTATAGAATATATTATAAGATATAACTTCTAAGTAAATGTACGCTTTTCTATATTAATAAAAATATATTTAACAAACCTCTGTTGAATTTTATTGTTTTAATCAGTAAGTGCTCATACTTATTCATTGGAACAAAAATAATATTTAAATAAAATATTTATAGCTATTGAATATGCTCAGTACCATAATTTTATTTTGCTATGTATGTAATGTTTCAAGTTATACTTAATTTATATTTTTTAATACAATTATTAATTATTAAAGATGGGTCTTGATCGATCATTTAAATAGCAGGTAACTTCAGGTTCAGAAATAAATATGTTATCAAAACTAAGAAATAGTTAATAAAGATTAGTTTACAAAGGATATAAAAATACTTTTCAATAAACAAGTGAACTTAGAAAATAATTTGTTTACATAGTGTAGTTAAAAATAATGAAATTAAATAAATGTAATCATAAAGTGCTTGGGGTCAAATTGTTTTGATATATAATGAACGATGTTGGTTGGTCTATTGTAAATAGAGAATTATTTTACAAATAATATGACACACTTTAACAATTACTATTCCTTTATTTATCACTTTCCTATTTTCTCTTAATTATTTTCTAAATAATGAAGTGCTAATGGGAAAATATTATATAAGGTTTCCATGTTTATAATATTCTGTTTTTTTTTTGTTTCTATCCCTTACCTATATTAAATTAAATCTCTATACTACACTGTAATAAACAACATATTAAATATGTTATACACAATTAAATCATTTAATGACAGTAAGAATAATTTACCATATTAATTGTCTCCTTTTGTATATATTTTGTAAATAATAACACCTTCATTTATGATTAAATGTTTTCCATGACATCTATCGGCAAAAGTGTGAACTAAGTTTTAAATTAGCTTTTATATTACTCTCAGTTGGTAGGACAGTAGATGTCGCTGATAATAATTATTAAAAGCAATACGAAATCAAGAATTTAAGTATACATACTTAAATGTACTTGTAATTTTGTAAGTTTATTAGTTATTACGTCACAAAAAAATCATAAAGAAATTAAAAGGAATATAAATAACAATAAAAACTATTTAATATTTATTACGGAACATTTTTTTCGAAAGCAGAATTTTTTATCAATACTATGAGTAAGTACTATAGAATTTTTATTCCGTCTCTAAATTATTGTTGAAGTTTAATCTTATTAATAAGCAATTATTTCATGACATAATTCATAATTTGATTAATTTTTAATATATGTTCAATACTAACAAAGAGGAACTTCAATTCAAGAAAGTCTTTCAAATGGCTTCATTTTATTAATTTAATAGCAACATTCTCTTTGCATTAACATTAAAAGCTGGGTTTTAAACCAAATAATAAACGAGGATTATAAATCTCGAGTGGGGACACAAGAAACCCTTGGAGTGATAATCTGCGATCCTAGAATAATATGAGCATTGTTACAATATACTCAGATTTAAGCTTTTGTTATATGTGTGGTATATTAGTAACGACTGTGTTTATTAAAAACACATCTTTACTTCATCACTGACATATATTTTATATTTAATTGAAATAAATAAAGATTTAAATACTCAAGGTATTGCAGGAGTTTCTTTGTGAATTGTTATATTATGCGAAGATCCCCATTAAATATCTGTTAAACGTCGGAATCCAATAAAAATAACAGGCTTGTTACAAGCTCATTTGAGAGCCAATTCAAACGAACTAATTGAAACGAAAATCCAGGCTTTAAAATTTAACGGTGTGCCGATAACTTCCCTACCCTCGTAAGCCTTAATTATCGCTCAACGTAATGTCAATAAACCTGACGTTCGGCCGTTTTTCTCCCCTTACTAATTTGTTAGCCCTAAAATTGTAGCCCTACATTTGTATTGTGACGGACCAGAGGCGAAGGAACGCGACGGTTGCCATGCGTAACTTATAATATTTACGAAAATGGTTACACGGAACAAAAGGAGGGATCAACTTACAGTGGCTGGTGTCAGCCTGGTGAAGGGTACCCAGTCCGCAGGGTTCAGACACGCATCAATCGCTTTGTTCACAACAGAGGGAGGGAGATGGCGTTACTGTTGCTCATTATTACACTTGTTCCGTTACAGGCAAAATTTTAAACTAACTCTACTATAATTCATAAATATATTTTTTGTACTCTCGAATCAATAATCAGAATTACGATATAGTAATAATTCGTATTCAGAAGTAATATAAATAGATTAAAATATTATTATTAAAAATACATAATATTTTTAACCGGTTTATTACGTCACAACAGTTATTTGATATATTTTTTTTCTTTGAAGCAATTCGTTTAAGATATATATTTAATTACGTGAAAAGGAACGCCATTGAAGTGTATGTCGTGCGCCGGCCGGGCCGAAACCTTGGGCCGGGGTAACAGAATTCAGTTGTCCGAATGCGCGCGTCGCGTGTTAACGTGTTGTATGTGACTACACAACTCGCATACAAAATAAATCAAAATAATCATAAAATATCAGAAGCAACCTCTGAAATATGCAACTGAACAGTGTTCTCGTGTTCAAAAACGTGTTATATGTTAGAAAATTGTGAATTAACTTGTTATAACGAGTGGTGATGTCAAGAAGCTTTGAACCAGCGTCCCAGTATCTTGAATAGTGATATGAAACAACATTTGTAAGGCAATAAATAGGTTGTAAATTGAGCTTTAATTCATAATGTGTAAACAATAATTATCTATTTCGGTTGATTTATATAATACAAGCCGATACACCACATAAAGAGTGGCTATCCGTATAATATGCTAATCAGAGGGTTTCTTAAAACCCCCACACAAAAACCTCTGCACTAGATACTGCAGTGCGATTTCGTGTTGCAAATTCTGTCTCAATACACCTGCCAAATTTTATCATCGAATATACAAATTAAAACTAAACGATTTCCATAGATGTTTACTTGTGGATACATCTAAGTTTGTAAATTATCAACAGTAGACATAAAAATGATTACTATAAAAAAAATATTTGTATCAAAAGCACTCCAATTACGTAGCAACAACGGTTTTTGTGTTATCGACGTCAGGCTCGAATCTAATTTTAATTACTATCATTGAAATATCTTCCAGTTCGGTTATCAATCAAGTAATCCCGCACTTACACTGGTTTAACATCATGCAATTACTATTATGTAGTAAAGAAACAAAGAATGATAAGTATATATACAAAAAGAGCTCCAGAATAATTCAGTTTTAGAAAGCCTGAACATTTAGTAATAATAACATTAAATACAATTACGTTCATTCAGAAATATCCTTTAAAAATGTATCTTTAAGAAATATCTTAGCCAATTTAATATCTAAGATACATCCAGATATAAAATAGTGATTCATCCAAATCAGCGTCTTTATAAACTTTTATAATAGCCTCTGCAATTCCGCTGGCCTTCCGAATCTTTTCCCTTCTTCTTTCATCCTTTTCACAGTTCTTAATAAACTTGATAAGCCATTTTCTGCTTAGGATCAGTGATAGAATTCATTGATAGAAAAGCAAAAGTTTTTCATTAAACATTTTTTTATAATAACATGTAATTACGATGCATTGAGCTAAAAGCTACGTAGTATATTAATTGTTGTTGGCGTGTCTAATTCCGAAGAGATTTCTATCAATCGTAATATTAAAAGGGAATATATAAAACTATCGTATTATTTTCAACGAATGCTATTCAAGTTCATTGACCTCACGAAGAATTTAAATGAATTATTTTATAACAAAAATCATCTGATGAATTCAACAATGTTTTGTATCTTTTTAGTTATTTCAGTGGAATACTTATTATATATATTTGAAGTATAATCTAAGAGTATCAGTGCTGTAAGCAATATGTTATTACGGCGGTAATTTTATTCGAATGCCATCAATCAATATAACATATATGACTCAATTGCTATCATATATCGATTTTTAAAGCTCATATAATGATGAACTCATAGTCGGAACTTCAAAAAGTTCAAACTAATAGCTTTCAAATATTCTTC